CCAAAAAACACCAATCGATCCACCACACACAAAACCACACAAGCCCGCATACAGGGCCAACATGCAAATGGTAGGCCGAATAACCGAAATCACGAGACAAAAATATAGCATGCAAATAGCGCCATCGGCCTACCAAATCGTTCCCAAATCATGCATTCACAATTCTTCACCTAACTCTAGGTATCGATTCTCCAGAAATAAAAGAAAAGGCTAGGGAAACACGGGCCGTGTTTCCCCACTATTAAAACACGGGCGGGCTGGGGGCAAAACACGACCGTGTTTTAACCCCCTGCTGCCCGTACTTTTACTGCCGAGAGCATTTTTGGCCTCCTTTTAAAACACGGGCGGGCAGGGGCAAAAACACGGCCGTGTTTTGAACCCCTGCTGCCCGTGTTTTTACTGCCGAGCTCAATTCGCCTTTTTTCAAAATTCCAATTTCAAACCACCAAGACTCATTCGTGCCCCGGCTCTAAAATTTACCCAATCACACATTAAAAAGAACCGCCCGAGGCACGAAATACTTTCGAGACAGACTCCAGACAGACTCAAAATCCGACAAAAAATGAAATAAATAAATAAAAACAAAGGGTAGAAATGCAAATCGTGGTGGGGTTGCCTCCCCACAAGCGCTTCTTTACCGTCTTTTAGCTGGACGCCCATGGCGGAACTAAGGGTCCGCGAGTTCCACTACCAACTCCGCACGTTCGATCTCGTCTCCCAGGTAGAGCTTGAGACGATGGCCATTCACTTTAAATGGTTCAGTCTGCGGGTTGGCAATCTCGATCGTGCCATACGGGAACACCTGTGTGACCATGTACGGTCCAGACCACCGGGAACGGAGTTTTCTGGGAAAGAGCTTCAGGCGAGAGTTATAAAAGAGAACTCGATCACCAACCTGGAACTCTTTCGGACCCCGCAACCGTGCATCGTGCAGGCGCTTCGTGCGCTACTTGTACAGCTTGGTGTTCTCATAGGCGTGATAGCGCCACTCCTCCATCTCCAGCATCTGCATTTTGCGCTCAACACCTGCAACACTAACATCCAAGTTAAGCAGCTTAAGGGCCCAGAAGGACTTGTGCTCTAGCTCCACGGGCAAATGACATGCCTTTCCATAGACAAGCCGGTACGGTGAAGTACCAATGGGTGTCTTGTAGGCAGTGCGGTATGCCCATAGAGCATTAAAAACACGGTCGCTACCCTGGGAAAACACGGGCGTGTTTTATGGTGGACACGGCCGTGTTTTGGGTAAGTCCCGCCAGTGTTTTGAGCTGGTGTAGGAAAAATATGGGTGAAGTCTCGGCAGTAAAAGCACGGTCACCGAACATGGCCGTGCTTTGATTTAGGCGCGCCCGTGCTTTGGCTCCAGCTCGACCGAATGACTTCGGAATGCCCCGAAACTCGTGCTTAGCCTTTCCTTCGACGTCTGGGACCTGAAATGTGACAAAGTAGCACAACCCAGCGTAAAATAGGCCAAAAATACACGACTATGCTCCACAAACGGATAAGAACTAACGGTGCAAACATGTGCAATTTCATCGTTAACAATGAACGAAGGGAAAGCAGATTTGGGAGAATCGGAAGGATTGATTAAGACGAGGCATTTCAGGAAGGAATTCAAAGGAGAAGACCTACCTCACTTGGAAGACAACGGCTAGCCAGCATGGAATACAAATAGCTCACTCAGAATCAAGAAGAAGACACTTTTCCGAGAGATCAAATTACACAGGAAAGGCTAAGGATATAGCAAGTGTGATTGATAGTGAAAAGGGGATTTAGCATTGGTTCTGGAGTGAAACAGTGTTAGAGAGAAAGAGTGTTGGAAAACACAGGAGCTGGATAGCTTGGAATTGAGGTTAGCTGTTAGAAATCTCGATTAACCACCCAGGATTGGTTAGGTTGATCTCGTGAGTGTAAAACTGTCAAGGATCAAGAGCAGTATACCTAGTGAATCCTTGGAAGTCACAAATAGTGATTTTCCAACCGTGGAATAGTCAGTATTGGGATTCATTTTCTCCCAATACTGGAAACCACGTAAAAAACTGAGTCTGTGCCATTCAATTCAGCATTATACCTTTTGTTTGTGTGGCTATTCTCTGTTTTGCAGTGGCAGGGGAGTTCAACTCTGTTCGAGGAAATCAGGTCTTTGAGAAGGAAGAAGAAGCAGCTGAAGAGTAAAGGTAAAACGAGTCGTTTTGCAAAAAGTGAGTAGTTCACAGGCTTATAACTTGAGTGGGCCGGTGAAGTTGAGCCCAATACAGGAAGTGATATCTCTCCTTTACAAACATACACTTGAGTTGGTTTCCAAACTATTTTTGATCAACAATCATTTCTTTTCACCTACACTTGATCTTCCCAAAAGGTTGTTTAGGATTCGCAGGAATCAAATCAAGCATCGCGCAAAGCAGGCGTCTTGCGCTCGACGCCAGTAACATGATGCACGAAGATAAGAATGTTTTCAACTGTCGTTGTGAATTAGTAATTTCAAAATAATATTGATGCTTTATGGTAGTCATTTTATTATTTCCAGTACTCATTTAAAGTTAGTTGTGATTTTCTGCTTATTTGTAGTAATATAGCGCTCTTGTAGTAGTGCCTTTAGGGCAATATTTGACATCAGCTGGTGCATTTCTAGTATTTTATGTAATGATTTGTATTAGTGATTTGATGGTTTAACTTTATCATATTGAATTTATGATTTTAGTATTAATTGATCAATTTTATGGTTAGTAGTAATGATATTATGTAGTTCTTTTTCTAGAAGTGATCACTTATTTCTATAAAATGGCAATCATGACTGGACTTTTTTTTTTTTTTTTTTTTGCAAAAGATACTTCGTATTGAACGAGATAATCAAGATACACTAAAGTCAATTAGCTGACCAAAGCCATGAACGAAAATCGAACTCTATCTAACTAGGGAACAATGAAAGGGCTTTTTTGACCACCATATGGGCCACACTATTACGCGCACGTCCAACAAAACAAACACTAGACTGGAGAAAACATTGCCTCAAAATCTTGATCTCCTCCAACATTACCCCACCACGAGCATCCAAACATGATCCCTCCTTCACCTTGTCAAGCACCACCTTTACATCACCTGCAAACACGACGTCCTGCACCCCCTATCAAGCGCCCACCTTGGCAATCATGACTAGACGCTATGAAATTACTACTAAAAACATCAAATAGCCACTAAAAATGAGAAATGAGAACTACAAATCATCAAAATCAGTAATATTACTACTACTATTGTAGAATCGCTACTGCAAAATATCCATCACAAATAACAAAATAATGGGATGGGGACCTGGTGTGGGGATTGCTTACGTCACATTTTTTAGGAGGAGACTGTGCAACGTATTTTGGCTATTCCATTGCCTCGATTATCAGTTCCTGACCGGCTAGTTTGGGAGCCAGATTCCTTGGGTATGTATTCAGTTAAATCCGGCTACCATAGGGCGATGCAGATTAGTCGACGGATGGAGGTTTGGAAGGCAGAAGTTTCCTTTTTCGATAGTGCTTTTTGGAGAAGGGTGTGGGAGTTTAAAATACCCCCGAAGTTGAAGTTTTTCGTTTGGCAGCTTATGCGTCGGGTTCTGCCGACGATGGAGGCTACATGGGAGAAGGGTGCTCCTTGTTCGACTAAGTGCCCGGTATGCTGGGATCCATTAGAGTCTATGGAGCATACGTTCTTGGAGTGCCGAGTAGCGCTAGATTTGTAGGAGAGGTGTGGCCTACGTGCGTGGAGGGTAGGACTCGATGGATTAAATATGGCGCTTCTGTTTCGGAGACTGGTGGAGCGGGATTCTTCTCCAGAAGCCATTATTAGGTTGGTAGCTTTACTGTGTCGAATTTGGAAGTCAAGGAACTGGGTGGCTTTTGATCACATTTCGTATTCAGCGGAGGTATTGGTTCGACAGTTCTCGGAGCAGGTGAGGGAATGGTTATCAGTTTCCCAGCTACAGCCGGTGGCGGGTCAGAGAGCACCGATCGAGGGTTGATGGTGCGGTGGGCGAGGATTTCCATCCATCGATTATTTGTAATGTGGATGGGGCTTTGAGAGTAGGTTCCCATGCGCCTGGTGGTATAGTGGTTCATGATGAGGAGGGAGAGATTATGTTTGTTCAGGGATTTCGCTATACAGATTTGGCAGACCCGTTCCTTGTGGAGTTGCTAGCGTTTCGGGATGTGTTTCAGTGGTGCTCTGTAGTGAGCATACATGAGGTGACATTACGTGGTGATGCAAAGGTGGTGATTGACAAAATTGCAGCTCAGGAGAAATCGGGACGTGAAGGCAGGAGTAATCTTGGAGGAGGTAGTGCACCTGCGGCAGTTGTTTTCCAAGGTGACTGTCGAGTTCGTTGGTAGGCATAACAATTGGGCGGCCCATCGTGTGGCTAAAAAGGCCCTTGATTTGTTACCTGCAGAGTTAGATGGGTTTGATTTTCGTGATTGGTTTCTTTGGGAATTGATGTATGAGGTACGATGTATGAACCATGTTATCTTTGTGTGCTTGGTAATGCAAGTGAGCTATTGGCAAAAAAAAAAAAAAAAAAAAAGAGAAGTGAGGGAAAGGAGAGAGACGTAAAGGAGAATAAAATATAATGATTTTAATATAAATTTTCAATTAACTTGATTTTAAAAATTCCAAAACTATCACTACTCAAAATCTACCAGATTTGGAATAGAAAAATAAAATGAAGGATGATTGATGGGGTTATTAGCATCCGATCCATTTTGGGAATTGTGGGCTAGCTCAACATTAGTTTACTCCCTACACCTATCTTGCATGAATAATTTACCATAGTTGATGCTCCAATAACTAGTGCTACTTGGAACACTACGCCCATCGAACACTTTGGATCGCTCTATAAGAAGAGCCCTTCCATGCACCCACAAATCATTCATTCACACACCCATCATTTTATCCGCTTAGCAAATCAGTGCAAAGCAATATACGACATGGCTCAACTGCAGAAGCTGGAGACCAAGGCTCCAATGAAATCACCAGAGAAGATCGCAGCTTTCTTCAGGGACAGCTTCACCACCCTGCCTCGATTGCTCCCTGACATTTTCAAGACCGCTGAGATCGTGGGAGGCGGCCACAAAGCAGGGCCTGGCTCCGTAATGCTTTTCCAATATTCCCTCCGTACGTCATTTTCGCCAAGCCAACATTAATTACTTGTACATAATCGTAGTTTTGATTGCATCCTTCGATATTGAATTTTGGCTGTGTATTGAGTTCGATCAGCTGGGTCCCCGTTAATGAGTATGAAGATCAAGTGGGAAGAAGAAGCCATAGACACAGAAGAAGAAGGGAAGAAGTCGTTCACTTTGGCGGCGATAGAAGGGGAGGTGCTGGAGATGTACAAGGGTTACAGTCTGAAGATTGAGATGGACAGTAACGCTGGCCAGTCGCGATGGATCATTCAGTATGAACTCGCCAACCCGAATGCTCCCCCTCTTCATGCCTATATTGAAGTCTGCAAGCAGCTTGCCAAAGCCTTCGATAAATACTGCTGAAGCGGTTTCAATGCATGCTTAGCATTTTCTACCGTACTGCAGTGTTATAGTACTCATGACAATCAACTCACTCGTGAAATTGGTTTCAAGGGATTAAATAAGAGACCACGAAGGCGACGGGCTGCGTTGTCCTCTGGCATTTTAAGTTGTGTTTGACTGTCTGAGATCTAGAATCTCAGTGGAAATTAAGATCGTAATGCAACTATGTTTGTGTTAATGTCATTGTTCTTCTATCTTTGGCATAACCTTCAGTAAAAAAATAATATCTAAATCTTGAATCCACCGGAGTTTAACATCTTGTATTATTCCCAAATTAAACCTTTAAAGATTAAAATCTAGGTGTTAATTTTATAAATCTCATACACTAAAAAAAATTAATTAGAAATAAAAATCAATAGTTATGATTCATCAAGGTATATGGAACTTAGAAGCCACCACATATATATAACCCAAATCATGAGGTTCGTATAATCTTAAAAAGTAAATCAACAATAATTTCTACGAATCAGGACCGTTGACTTTCATTTCAAGAATAAAAGAAAATTATGCTTTGGGTTAGTGATTTGCGGACTAGGGTTCACCCATTAGGGATTAGGGTATAGTGTCATGCCCCAAACTCCGGTTAATTAGATCATGTTCAAACTATATCAGCCATTGATGTCCAAGTATTGGTTTAATTGTGGACCTCCTAGATGTAGGTCGATGTTGATCGAAATCCTTCTGAAAGCCATTGCAATTCATCTTGTAGACTGTCTTATTGTTTACAGAATTAGGGGTGAGTTGGCTGATTCTAAACTTGTCATGATAAGTAACATGTTCTACTTCTGCTGGTCTATTTTCCTTGGTGTGGTTGTGTCTCCAGTGGGAAGGAACATGTTGTTAATACAAAAACCAATGTTTTCTTGGAAACAATCCTAATTAGTTCAATATGCTAACATCTTGTCTTTAATGTCCTGGGAGAGGAGTCCTAATCATGTTCCCATTGTGGTTAAGCTAGCAACTACTTGTAGTATGCTTCTTGTGTGGATGTATTCTAGAAAAGGGTAATCAAAGCATTTGTCTTCTGTGATTCTTTGCATGGGCTTTTGTGTTGATGTGAACTGAAGCATTAGTCTTATGTGATTCTTTGCATTCATTTTATCTTTTTATTTTGTTTGAATGTTGGCTCCGTCTACGTTTATGTAATTATTACTTCAGTTTACTATTAGAGCAAGATTGTGATGCAATTGATAGGTTTTGCCATGATTCGTCAAGTGAACCTTTGACTTCATCTCCTCATGCTTAATCATTAGTTCCTTCTTTTATGCATTTCAGTATTATTTTTCTGATTAGAGACTCATCAAGTGATAGGTTTTAGCGTGATTCATCAAGTGAACCTTGGACTTAATCTCAACCATGCGTGATCTCAAAAAAAGTTGCTCCAATCTGACCTAGCTAGCGATGTGTTCCTTCCTTTATGCATGCCAGTATTAACTTTTTGATTGGAGAGACTTGATTTGTGTTTTATGGAGGCAAATCGAATGGGAAAGTTCATACTCAATGTTTGATTCTTTTCAGTTTGGCTTGAGACAAGTTGGATTGTTGTTTGCCTTCAAACTGAGTCTGCAGAAAAAATTCTAGAAGAGTTGATTTGGTCTTGTAGTGTCGTTACCGTTGCCTATTGATTACATTTTGGATTGTTAATGGAAGGGTCTTGCTTGGCTGCATGAAAGGTGCAATTGAGTTTGTTAGTGAAGAATTAGTTCATGAAATCAGGGTGACTTCAGTTTTAGCCAGTTTGGATGGAAATAGAGCGGGAATGGATTAGAGATGATGCGAAGCAAAATAGATGATTGATTCCATTTTGGACTGTTAATGGAGAAAGTAAAAGGTTTAATATATCAGTCTCTGGTGTCATCTTATGCAGATTGAAGTGCTGGAAAATAAACTTTCATGTCGTTGACAATTTCATCTTCGTCTTCTATTAGTTGTAAGACTGATATCTTTTCAATAATATGTTAGGGGACAAGTGGAGAAGCTTAGCAAACTAAGCTTCTTTAGGTTTATACTTTTGTTCAGTGTTGCTGGGATTGAAGTTCACACTTGTTCTGTGCTACTAGGATTTCTAGGGTTCTTGTGGCAATAGAGACAGTTGTAAGTGTATGGGAAGCCCACAAACCAGGGTGTGACTCAGCTCAAGTTCAAGCATAGCAAGCGATCGGTTGTAGAGGAACGTGCTGGGAGGAAGTTTGGTGGACTCAAAGTTCTCAATTCTTACTGAATCATCGAGGTATGTAGAGTTGGACACTACATTTAACTTCATTGTAACTTATATTCAACAGAACAATGTAGACTTGAATCGATAATGTTGATAGATAGACTGAACGAGATTCCCTGTTAGTGTCGCTTATTTTGATGACTAGATTAAACCCTATTTAGCTTATTTTGGTGGTTGCAAAGTTCTTTTCCATATCTCCCCCTCTTATTCTTGTTGGTGTTATGTTGCCCAAGTTAGTAGGGATATTAGTTGAATTTTTCAATGTCAAAGCTTGTTGAGGTTGAATGAGATCAGAGCTGGGAAAAGGAAGTATTTTGTTTTGCTTATCTCATGAAAAGATGTCACGGCTGTGAAATTTCCAGAATTAGCCGTGATAATGTTTAGTGGAATCTGGGTGTTTTTAGTTTCACAACTTCGTTTAACGGTCGTGATTTATTAAGCCAAAGCCGTGAGATTGCCTGGTGATATGAAAACTGCTCTTTACTTCTCACGGGGCATGTCACGGTCGTGAGAATTCGAGAATGAACCGTGAGAACTGTTTAATGAAAGTTGTGTGTCTTGGATGAATTTTATATATGCCAATGGCGGATTTCATGGTTAATTAGAATACTCAAGTATTCAGTGGGGGGTTTTCAGTTCTTCTGGTAGTTGGAACTTGATATCGAGACAAGTGTGTTTGTGAGCTGTGGTATAGTCTTGCATTTTTTCAATATTGATACAAGCCATATAATGAAAATAAGGATTGAAGTCACTACCTGGAGAATGTGTTTACCTAATGATTGAATGATCCTTTTCTGGAATGAAACTTTGTCATAACCACGTTTTCTTGAATGTGTTTACCTTTGAAAGTTGCTTCTTTTATATCAGTGAAGGACGACTCTTGCTTTGTATACTTTGTTTGTACTCTTGGGCATGCTTATAATTCGTGTTTCAAGGCATGCTTATAATTTTGTTGTTGTTTCAATTTTGCAGTTTGTTAAAATTGTTCTATAATGAAGACGAAGATGTATGACCTTTTTAGCATGCGATGTTCTCCCAGGAAAGTATTCTCCCTAGTCTTAAATTTAGAGGGTTGTCAATCAGAGGCCATTAAGAGATGTGGCTTTGGTCGGATTCTTGAAGTCAAGAGAAGAATGTTACAACGTGAGTTGTTGGAGAAACTTTTAAAAAGCTTTAATCTGGAAGAAAGCACAATTCAGGCGTATGGGCTGAAAGTGCATATTTCGGCCAAAGATTTCCAGCGAATTATGGGTGTCCCCGAGGGAGGGACGGATATCGTCTTGGATGGTGAAGAAATGGTTGGAAGATCCGAGGAAATGAAAGAATTTAGAGTGTATTCGACTCGTGACTGTGACCGACAGGCTATTTCCACAAGCTTAATGCGAAAGACGTTGTTGGAGATAAAAGAGAGCAACGATATATTTGTTAAAACTTTTATATTGTACGTAATGGGGGTGCTATTAGTACCTACTAGAAGAGATGACATTTCGTTATCCTCGGTATATGCTGTCACCGATGTTGCGGACATTCCAAAGAAGAATTGGGCATCCTATTGCTTCAATGAATTGGTGAAATGTATCTGTGACCATAATGTTGATTGGAAGAAGTATATACCTAGTTGTTTGTTGTTTTTAGAGGTAAATAATTGCTTATCCCTACTTTCTACATATTCGTAATGGTTAAACATCATGTTGAATATAGCTTTTTTTGTAGTTAATATTCTTGGACCATGCAAATGGTATTTTTCACACCATTGATGGAAGTTTGGATTTAATGAGTTGGGGGAGCTGAGACGTAGAGTTATTGTTAACGAAAGTGGTAAGACTGATAGTGCAAAATAGTATATTTGATTCTTTTGACGAGTTGGACCATGCTAATGGTATATTTGGTTCCCTTTTTAATTAATTTATAGGTTTCAAGCAATTCGGGAAAAAGATCATCGGAGGAAGTAGGTTTGAAATCACCTCCAGGGAAACGACAGAAAAAAGACAGGAAATGTCACAAAACCGATGGGGTTGAGCTGCTTCTTTGTGAGCATATTGATGCTCGGTTTAGTACCATGGAGGCTAGATTTGACGACTTCGGTCAAGAATTTAAAGTCGCAATGGGTGATGCTGCTTCTAGGGATGAGGAGATAATTGGTTGGTTATGAAAATGGAGAATGAATTTCGAGCATTTAGAGACGAAATTGGTACTGCAGTGAAGTCAATTATAGATGCAGTGAATGCAACTACAGGTGACCCGTTGTCAAGGGAGCAGCCTACTGAATTGAAATAGAAAGATCAGAAGGATGCGGCTGATAATGTGAAAGCTTCTGCAGTTGATTTGTTGTCAACGGAGCAACTTATCAGAGGGGAAAAGGGAAATCAGAAGGGTGAGGTTGAAAAACCAAGTGAAC